CACACTCTCATGTCTTCTCCGTGATCTCGCTCAGGGAGGATGAGGATGACATGGACAAGGGTCTGTCATTCATATTTCCATTAGCACAAAGCATTTATGAACACTGCTACCCTCAAAAATGTGGTCATGTATTGGCCCAAGAGTAGAACGTATGTGGACAAAATGTCTTGAAGAGCAAGGGAAGTAATAGTTCTTTCTCTTCATTAGAAACCAGCCTGCCCTTGAGCCAAGGGTTTTATGGGAAAAGGAAGTAAAGTGAAAATTGGAGGATTGAGTAAGGATACAGAATACAGAGGGTCAATTCCATAAGGTGCACAAGGGCTGGTTTTCAGCTGTCAGTGTGCATGTGTTGTGCAAATAGTAGCTGTAAATATCTTTTTAAAATCTCCCCTGCTGCTAGTTTACCTTTATTACTGTATGTAAAGTTCAGTGCTGGTATGTGGCCAAAAGACAACGCTGGAGACTTTCAAGCACTTTTCAGATTTAATAGGCAACAAAATATGTTCAGTGAAATGGCGTGAACATACAACAGCCTTTCAGTTTTATTTACAGTTTAATACGTAGTCAGCAGAAACAAGTAAATGCTACTTCTCCAAAGCACAAAGGATTTTGTTAACCTCTTTTTACCTAAGAAGTGAAAATAACCTTGCTTTTAAAGGCAAGAAGGTATTCTTAAGTCATGTAAGTACATGGACATACACCAGCAAAATAATGGATATTTCACCAATATTAGACATAAACATGAATCAAAATATAATGTTTTGTTTAACTGAAAAATTACAAGCAATATAGTTAATACACTTTTTGAGTCCAAGATAATCTATCTACATTCCCAGCTGCAGCAGGTATTAAACCACCAGAGATTGCTGAGGTGAATGTCTTGGCAACCAGCTGTATATGCCAGTCCTGTTACACTGGATTGGTGAGGCTCCAATAAACCAAGTGCTTCCTGAGGAAAGTCATTGGTACTTTTTTTTTACCATAGCTCTCTGATGTATGCAGTATATACCCTATGGCTCTTGGTCTCATGAGTGTTTTGGTACATGGTTCAGAACGCCAGGAATATTGCACTCAACAGCACCAGCTGCATTTTATCTTCTTGCAATGGCTGGGATGGCAGACCAATATTCTGGAGCCTTTTAAGCCTACGTTGGGTCTTGTGACTTGAGAAGTAGATGACGGATCATCTATTCATCGTCTAATCATCATTCCATATGTGATTGTCCTGGGTTCAGCTACAGCAGTCACTTTTTCTCTTTCTTAGTAGCTGGTGCAGTGCTGTGTTTTTGACTTTCAGTCTGGGAACAACGCTGATCACACCGATGATTTTAGTTGCTGATAAGTAATGTTTACTCCGACCAAGGACTTTCTCAGTCTCATGCTCTGCCAGGGAGGAGGGGAAGCCAGGAGGAAGCAGAGGCAGGACACCTGACCCAAACTGGCCAAAGGGGTATTCCATACCACAGCACGTCATGCCCAGTATATAAACTGCGGGGAGTTACCCGGAAGGCCCAGATCGCTGCTCGGGTCGGGCTGGGTATCGGCCGGTGAGTGGTGAGAAATTGTATCCTCTCCCCTTCTTATTCCTCTTATCATTACTACTGGTAGCAGCAGTGGTTTGTATTATACCTTAGTTAGTGGAGTGCTGTTATCTCAACCCGTGGGAGTTACATTCCTCCGATTCTCCTCCCCATCCCTCCAGGAATGGGGGGAGGAAGAAGGTGGGGAGTGAGCGAGTGGCTGCGTGGTTCTGAGTTACCAGCTGGGCTTAAACCACAACAATGATCCAGAAGGATCATACCAGGAATCCAAACACAGACAATGCAACTGCTGCTGCCATTGTAATTTACCGATTTGAACAAAACATGCTGTATTAATGAAAGGCCTTGTTTCCAAGTTGTTCATTGTATGTATGCGATAGTTGTATGCATAGCTGTAGATGTTGGTAAGCTCCTCTTTTACAGATAAACTTTGATAACACTGTGACTACTTCTCTGATAGAAGCCGTTTAATGCAGACCAGTAGCAAGCAGAGCTTCATTCTCCAGCTATGACAAGCCACCTCACTTCTTCAGCATCCCATCACCATCCCATCTCCCATCTCAATCTCCTTGAGTTGAGGAGAACTCAAGCTACCATGGGTTTCTTCATTTGCTCATTTGGTGGAAGAATATAAAGCACAAATACCATGTCTGCTGAGAATTATAGTTGTAATACAAGGCACCTTATAGCAGCCTGATTGGAAAGCAAGTAAAAAAGGAGGAGCAGGAGATCTTTGACTTTTACACCCTTTCTGTACATACATAACCATACCAGAGAAATTATAAATCTAGATTTTAGTGACCGTTTGTTATTCTGGGGGCATATGACTGTCTAATAGAACAGCCTTTCCTGGAAATTTGAGAACTCTATACTACATCCTCCATGTGTGGTAGTTGCAAAGTTTCTCTTTCTTCTTAAGAGGACAGACATCCTAGAAAGTTTTAGCTTGTCTTTAATGAATTGCAGTGTGATTGAGTGTAATATTGAAGGTAATTGTAATGTAGCCTGTTCTTGCAGCATGCATCTTTGGCAACTACAAGTCTCTGGCTTTCAGATTCTGACTTGTCCTCTGTTGGTGTTTTTTAATGGATCAGCAGTCAGCCTCTCCAGTGTACCCTCATTCAGTATAGAGTTAGATTTGAAAATGGAATCTGTGAGGGTGTTTAGTGAAACTGATGAAGCTTCCACGTATATGACATAGAATTCTATGAACCTTTATTTCTTGCTCTTCTTTCTATGCGCAAAGTAAAATGTGAGACCACTGTCTAACTGTGTCTATAAATAAATACTGCTTTCACAGGGAGGAAAAATGGGAAGACTGAGAGCAGGATAGATTTCCAAGAGAGCTTACCTATCCTTTAAGTATCTATAAGTTAATGTCAGAGTTCAACAGTTCCACCTCTGGCTGCTGAACAATTCCAACAATTTGGCCTTATACAGTTCTGGAAAAAAATTAGTATTTCTACTTGGTCAGTGTTAACATTCTCATGAGCTTCTGAAATGGCTGGTAACATACTTAAGGCTGATACGACTGAAAAATGCGTGAGATCAAGTAAAACTATTTGAACCCTAAGCACTTCACTTCTTTATAGTAATTAATCTTTATAGAAATTACTTTTTTTCTCAGCCATGAATAGGTATGTCAGCTCGATGCAACTGTAGCACCACACAGTCTTTCGAAAGGATGTTGCCCCAGGATAGAATTACAGAGTAAACAGTTGCTAAAGATCATTAGCCTTGAGCTTTAGCTTACCAAATCTGCAAAAAAATAGTCAGACATTGTGTTCTGCATCTCTGAAGCTGACTAGTTATAAGATGGCATTTTGTATATTTTCCTGTGTATTTTACTTCCTGTCACTCAAGAAGTCCACAGAAGTTTTTCCTTAAAGGTGTATGTTGGAAATGACACATATTTCTAAATACAAATAGCAACTAAATTTATAAACCCAGATATATTTATTATAACCTTTCACAGAAATTAGATATTTATTACCCTCTAACAAGTATCTAAGTTTACTAATCTATATAAACACTTTTATTAAAGAAGAAACATTTCAAAAAAACTGTGTCTTATTATTTATCACCATACATGGAGTTTGTGTAAGGCAAGTAAATCTCCCTTTTATTTAGTTTTTTCATTAGTTTTAAAGTGTTTGTGTTTGCATATTTGATGACAACTGGATTTTTTACTATTAGCAGTTAATCGTTTCATGAGAATAGTTTTCTTCTGTAACTACTTTTCATTTTAACAAATGTTCAGTTGTAGCTGCCTCCTGCTGTGAGATCTCAGGTCTTGCGTAAAAATGTGTTGATCAGCATATAATCTTAAGTAATAATCTGACAAGTAAACAATAACAAAACAGGCTAAGTAAACAATAACTGCTAAATGTATGTAGCCTAATCTGTGTGTATCACAATTCTTTGTTTACTATTACTGCTAGTGTTCTGTCAGTCTGAAAGTATATCTTGGAGTCTGCTGTCTCCTGTATTCTTCAAGGAACATGGGCTTCACACATTTTCTTGTATTTGTTTCATCACATTAGAAACAGATGACACATAAAGCTCTGCATCTGACAAGTTCTTTTGCTTTCTTACAAGACTGCCAGAGGGAAACTAAAGATCATCATCACTATACCCAGTAATTAGTATAAAATAACATGGACTCTAAATAGATATTCCTGGATTGCCCGGATCATGTTTTGTGAGGAATTATTTCATTACAAGTACATAAACAGGTGATGTGAGGTAAAAGCCTGCTGTAAAACATAGTCACTTTTTGCCGGTTAATGGAGGAACATGTAATCAAATGGTTTTGTCCATTTTATGACAGATTCTTGTACATTACATTCCAGGGAATAGTTTAGAGAATAAAGCAGGAAGATGAAAACAAAGGTGCCAGCACTTTCTATTCTGTTTGATACTCCATGGTATGTACTTACTCTTGGTAGATCTATGAAGGATGCAAGATCCCCAGACTTGAGTACAGTGTATTGTCTGATGACAGGAAATGAAAAACTTAAACCAGCAGCACATTCAGATTTATTGAGGCTTGTCAAGAGCCAGGTCTGTAAACTAAGAAGCAAAAATTCCAGCAACTGATAGTGAAAGCATGTGAATTTTTTAAAATTATTTTAGCCTTAAGAAAGTTAAGCATGTGCAGGAAATTAAGAGGGAGCATGAAGAAGTCAAATCAGTATGTTTAGAGTTTAAGATCTCATGTTATCATGGTGCATAAGGTGGAGGTGAGTGATCTGCAGCAATTTTGTCATAAGCTGGTGGAGCATCAGGTACCTGTGGTAAGGAAAATGTGTGTGTGAAAGACTGAAAAAATAATTGAGGTCCAAAAAAATTACAAGGTTAGTTTTTGCTGATACGTTCTTTGGTTTTCATTCAAAAAATTAATTAAATTAATTTTGTTTGTATCATTCATCCAAAGTGAAAATTTTCAGTGTTAAAAGGACAGGAATCTGACAGAAATTTGGTTGGTTGGTTGGTTTTTTGTTTAGTTAAAAATTCAGGACAGTATTGAAATGTTTCTTTAAGAGTTGTGATATAGGTACATGGTCTTATTTCAAATTGTAACAATTTGGGCAGCTTATTTAAAATTGGTTGTACATCAGCCTTTTCTCTATTCTAAAACTATTAAACACACCATTAACTTGACATATATATTTATCAATTAAATTACTTTAACTTTTTTAAAATTATGGGTTTGACTGTTCATCTTTCCGTAATGATTAGAGGAGCTAAAACCTTAAAGGTTTATAATGTTCCCTGACAATCCTTGTCAGGGTATAGGATACCAGAAACAGTCCATTTGTTGTCTGTCAGAATGGCAAATGGAACATCTGCTAGGGAGGTGTCTGTTCAGTACATTTCAACACTGACGTGTTGCAACATTCTGATAGATTGCATAATTATCATAAAACTTAATAATCGTAAAACATAAGAATAAAGCTAGGTGAAAGAAGAGACCTTTTAAAAGAAGAATTTTCAGTAGGAGATTTAAAAAACACTTTTCCCAGTAAAAAAATTGTGCAAAATAGTACTTTTAAAGTTAATGTAGAGGCATTGAAAACCTAATATAGAGAGCACACCCCAAGAAAGAAATCATCAAGTGTTTACCGAGATAGATTGTCTCACCATGTTTTACTGTGTTGTAAATAAATGCAACTTTGAGTTGCAACTTACCAAAGAATTAAAGTTTCTGTACTCCTGCAGAGCGATTTTGCAGTCCAGTGTTGTTCCTTCACCTACCATGGTTCGTATTGTGCCCACACCAGAGCTTTTGCTCTGTGACAAATCGTAAGGAAATACAGGGAAGATGAAAAGAAAGAAGCAAATGTGAAGTTGGAGAACATTATGCATTCTTTAATACTTGACAGCACAGTTACACTAGGAATTAGAATGCAGGACTAGGGCAAGACATAGCGCCACCAAGAGAGGTTATCTAGCTGCCTATTCTTCCTGTCTCCACTGAGACATACTGTCTCTCTTGTACTTTTACTGCCAGAAAAATGAGGATAAAGCATTTTAGGTCCAGGGTTGCTGTAGGAACTGACCTTCTCACATACCTGAATGCCACCTCCTTTTTATCCCACCCATTTCTTTCATAAATTTCCAACTTTTTTCTTTTCTATTTTTCCACCATTTCTTTTGTATACATTCTGTACCACCTCTCCCCTAGCCAAAAAGCCTAACAAAAGTTTGATTTTCAAAACCAGGAAGCAGTGATTTTCGAAGAGAAGGAATGAAAAAAGAGATTGTGCTTTTTGCCATGATGTACAAAGCAGTCATGAAAGAATTCTGGTTTGCTTTTTGAAGAGTTTTTTTGAGTGTTACCTTCACTTTTGCAACATTTCATTATGAAAATTTAGGTTTTATGTATTCTGCCAGTTGATACATGTATAGGATAGATCACTGAAAAGGTAACAAGACAGAGTTATCAGAAACAGCAAGGAAATGGGTCTGCTGACTTAAATGAGAGGTATGATTTTTAATTCCACATAGTCACATCTTTTCCAAACTATTGGAATAAAATATATTTACTATAAAACATATAATTGGATAAAGCTTTCAACTTAGATTAAAAGTCCTCTCTTTCATAGTAGAGAGAGCAGAACTTCAAAGATAAAGCTTTGAGACTTCTAATAACAGAAGTTACAAGAAGGATTGTACCTTTTTAAATATATTTTAAGTAGACACAAAGTAGAATTTTTTTAGTAGCATTTAGAAAGCAAACCTCAAACCTGCCCTGCTTTTTTGTATGTTAATATTGCAATTCAACTTTTATACAAATAATCATGCATCACCCATACAATAACATAGTATTTACTTATTTGTAACAGTTATTTTTCTTCTTTGCTTCCCAGGTTTACTCTAAATATATCTGTTTTTATTTAGGGCTAAGTCTTATGAGTAGTGAAAATGTTATTTTTATGTAAATGAAAATACGCAGAAAACATCTTGGTTTTGTTTAAGTATTAAATATAATAATATAATCATCCATCCACTGTGTTGGGCAAAGTTAGGCAACTGGTTTCATTTTCCTCTGCTCCTGCTTCCTCTTACCCCTTTGCCTGACTGGCAAGTTCTTCAGGGCAAGCTGCATTTCACATTGTGTCGTTTTACCTATGTATATGTCAATGTATATATTGCCTGAGACAATGATGTCCTATTACAAATTCAATGTTCTTGGCACTTACGTAATGTAAATAGTGATAATATGTTACATACACAGCATACTACAATGCCAGCTGCCGTGCTTACCCGCAGACTTTTGTAGCCACTACGTCTTTTGTAATACCAGCAGCCAAAGATAAGTAAAATTGCCAGCACCAAAATGAAGAGTCCAATACCCAGGGCTCTGTTGGGAAAGCAAAACAAAATGACACCAGAAGTAGGTGCATTCATCTGAGAGCAAAAACGATGGGATCAAGTTTGTAGTTTGTATCAGTACCCTTTTATCAGAGAAAGGCATGGAGCATAATCTACCTCAGAAAATAGATGAACTCTAAATAACTTCAGCCAGTCTCCGTAGACTAAACAGTTAGTTAAATTTTCTGCTAAGTTCTTAAGCATTTTAAAAATGATGAATACATTGGTTTGAAGATAATAATCTACCAGTGACTACTGCTTCTAAAAACAATCCCTGCATTGCAATATTGGAAGAGAATGTGCAATTAATAAATGCCACACCTGCAGAGGCACAGCTCATGTTCATTTCTTAGATTTCTCTAGGCAGCAAGTATTGAGAAATGTACCCTAATTGCATCATATTGCAACAACTGCTGGTGACAGAAGGAGGTTTTGGATACATAAAACACTATACAACCTCAAAACCAGAGTAAGAAACTTTGAATTATTCATAGAGCTCTATAATTCTTCAGTTCTTGTTCCATGACATACTAGGCAAAGTGTCGGTGTCACTGTGCCATTTTAGGTAACTTAGGCTTTGCAAACTGTGCTGTAAGACATCCTTCCCACTGCTTACCAGGGACATGGGAGAAGTAGCACAGCATGGTTGCACTATCTGTCAGAAAAGCTGATAAAGTAATTGCAAGTTTCCTAGTCACAAAACACACCCCTTCTCCTGTGTTAGTATCCTCCCTTGTAAGACATATGGAATTCACTCCCCATGTTGTTTGTTCTTCAACTGTTCGGGAACAGAAGAGTCTGCAAAATGCTTAAAGGGAACAGAGGGGAGGGCAGGGAAAAAAATGACCACATTTGTTGGGACAAACACATTCTAACACACTTTTATGTATCATCTGTCCAGTTGCCCTCCAGGGATTTTTTCTTTTTTTGCCAGGTGTTTCCACTGGCGCTGAGGAGCTGGGTATGTGACTTATTAGAGACCATTTATATCTATTTGCTATCATTTGCAATGTGTCATGAAGGAGCGATTCCTTGTGACCCAAGAACCCTGAAAGAAGATGCAAAAAGATTAGAACGGCAGAATAGGCAGTTTCTTTATCTGAACTGCCTGAGTGCTGTTGGAAGCTTGAAGCCCCATGGAGCCAAAGGGATTTTCTTTTTCACAAGTACCCAAATCTTGCAAGTTGCTCCTGCCCTTTCAAGACTTTGTGTTGATCTGTTTAATTCAAGAATACAGCTCACAGCATTGACTTGCTTCCTGTTGCAGCCCTGTTGCAGCTGATCTTCACACTTACAGGATGTCTCCACTGGTTTTGTTCCTGTCCCCAGCACAGTTAAAACTTGGAGGGCCTACTCCAAGCAACTGCTGCCTTTCCTACATTCTACATACACCAAGTGCTTTCTGCTTTTCATGCTCTCTGTAGTTTTAGCAGTCGATTAGCATGTATCCCCTCCCCAGAATGTATCTAATTTCTGGAGTTGGTGATTCTAACTGTGTTTGTCATCTAACTCCTTCCTCACCTGTTCAAAAGGCTAGTATGAAAAGCATGCATGCAATGTCTTGCAATTCCAGTGAAACTTGCAGCTGTACTATTAGGAATCTGTGCTTATATCTGGAATGCTCCTTTTGGTACTGGAAGGATAGTCACTTTTCCATCACATACGTAGAACAACTGCTTACACTTGCAGACACTGGAATTCGTAGCAGTTAGAAGTAAGAGTGTTTAGTTTCAAGTGTTACGACATCAGCAGCCAGATTTTGGAGAACTGAACTGCTCTGGAAGGACAATGAGAGAGCCTTCCCCTTTGTTTATTCTCTGTGCCCAGGGATGAGCATGTATCTTGCTGTATGTGTGTGGCACAAGTCACAAGTTTGAGGGACACTAAGCCAATAGCAGAAGCACATTTCACATAGATATATTGCCAGGACGCTGGAAATACTTATCTAAAGTAATAATATATCACCAATAGGACAGTGTGTCTAATAATCCAAGACCAAACATATTTTATTGTCAGCAGAACTAACAAATATTAGCTTGAATTAGTTCTGCTTAAGTGGAGTCTCATCCACTTAATTTACTGAGAGTCACATTTGTATGGCATTGATGTCTCTATCTGCTTTTTGATGATATTTTTCCATTTCTCTGGGCTTTTCACTTACATTATTCTTTAGGGTGAGACAACGTCCCTTTGAGGTCCTGAAGAGAGGTATATGGATCTGGAGATTAAACTTACTGAAAAGATCACCTTGCAACAGCCTCAGAAGAAAATTCTACATAAGCCTCAATAAACCTGGTAATTTTATTATAGAGGATAATGACTTATCATCATATGACCAAACTCTATATTCTTGAAGTCTGCAATTCTGATTTTTCTTAACCTTTGAGGGCTCTTATTGATTCTGCAATGACAAACATAACAGGATAGCTAAAACACACTCCATCTATATTCAACAGTGACTTTTTCAGATATACTATTTCGTACATTTCTTTCGATGTAAATGTTTTTCACCAGCTTACATGCTAACATAGGTTTTGCTTTATGCTTACTCTTCTGCTGCAAGATAGCCATGTCCTTTCCCTCTGAAAAAGTTGCCATCTGTATGGTAGTTTCTTCTGGGCATGTTGTGAGCTTGGTCCTGCTCAAGCCTGTAAGGTAGAAATATAGGGCCTCAGTGCAGTAAATGCTTTGTTATCTTCAAAGCATATTATCAAAATTTTTTTTTAATGGGAGCATTTTAGGGAAGCAGGACAATCAGATATCTTCACAATCAAGAAGATCCATATACATATGCAACTCCCACGATTTAATCCAGAACTCAAAACCATAACTATAGTCTATGTTTGAATAGCTCCTCTGACATCAAGGCATTTGCACCTGAGTGCAACAGAGAAGAACTTCGCATGGTTTCTTTAGGTACTAAGTGATGGCTGACTTCTGATGTAAAATCTCTCAGGAATATAGAAAGAAAGATAATTTACCTGGACAAGAAAAACTATTCAGAAGAAGAAAAACTAATATTATCCTTACAAGCTTCATTATTTCTGTTATTGCCTGTAAATACTCAAGGGCCATGTTTTCAACCAGCATAAACGTTCAGAGATCTGTTCATTTTCAGATGATTTTGCTAATTTATGTCTGTTGACAATTTACAGTTAGATGTGAAGGGAATTTGTATTATAGTCTTAATTTTCAATCTTAAGGAAATAATCATCCAGCTAAACGTCTGAACAATTAAAAATCTAATTGATCAAACGGTGAAGAAGAAATCCGCAAATAGTAATTCTTCTGTCGTTTAAAGAGCGGAACAGATCCTACTTGATAGTATTCAGCTAATGTACCTGTCTTGCGCAGGTGAAGTATAAAAAGTGTATTTAAGTGTATAAATATAAAGGAAACAGAACATTTTTGGAGTTCACTTAGAGACAGTTCTAAAGCAACAAATTTCACATAGAATAAGAAAATACAGATCTTACCTCCTTCAGATGTGTATTCCGCCTGTTGACTGAAAGGCATGTGCAGCTTTCTTCTCCTTGGCTTGGTCTGTTTTTTTCTCTTTGATCTGTTCTCTTATGACTATCACGAGTTTAAATTCCTCTCAGTACAGCTTCTGAATGCATTAATTAGCATGAAAGAGGCAAGGATACAACTTTGCATTTTTTTCTTACAGTCTGCATCCTTCCCTCCTGATAAGAAGCTCAAAAAGTCTGTTATTTTTTCATTTATTACATATCCTCTAAGAAATGCCTCAACACCATTTTACCTGCCTAATCAGTACAAGTTGCTAGAATGGGTTGACTACTTCTAAATTCAAACATGTTCTGATTTAGGGATGATTATTTTATGGCAGAGGGCTTGTGATTTCACATGTGTTTAACTATAGCTCTGCTTATGCACACTTTCTGCACCATTTAACACTGTGGAAACCAGTATAGTCAAAGCAGAACTTGTAGAGAGATGCTGTTACTCCATGATAGAAGAGTTTAGATTAAGGCAAGTACAGTTTAATTCCATACTGCAAAGCAGCTGCTGCAAGAAAAAGAGAGTCTGTCCCATGGGGTGCAGAACTAACGAAGCCTGGTTTCCTATGGACTTGCATGAATTGCCTGTGCTCATTAAATGTGTAATTCCATTTACAATACCAGGCAAGAAAAGGCAGGCTATGATTAATTCAGAGGTCTGGGTACTGTGTTAGTTACTGCCAAATTAAAAAAAAAGAAAAAAAAAAAAAAAAGGAGCCGTGTTATGCTTGTCATGTGTCCCAATTAACCATTAATTTCCTGCTACTTTGGGGTTTTTTTAAGTTTAAAGGACTCAAACTTAAAACTTTGATGTTTTCTCTTACCATTGAAGCTGTGAACCTGGCTCTAAATGTGGTTGAAAATGGCTGACATGTTCAAAAGTTTACAGGAAATAACAGATAGTGTGAGAGATCAACAACCATTTCCCTAGGAAATCGAATGAAAAGTCTTAACATCAATGTTCTTAGCTAGTGCAGGGCTAGGAAGAACCAGACTATTTTTCTGCTTCTAGTCTTTGCCTAATTATGGTAAAAATCTGATCTGGTTTTGGACATTTTTCCCTAGTGGTGCCCAGGGTGACAGTGACAGGACCAGAGGCAGTGGGTGCACGCTGAAACACAGGAGGTGCCCTCCGACCATCTGGAGACATTTTCTTACCGTGAGGGTGACTGAGCCCTGGCAGAGGTTGCCCAGAGAGGCTGGAGAGTCTCCTGCCTCTGAGATACTCAAAAGCCATCTGGATATGGTGCTAAGCAATGGGATCCAATTGATCGTGCTGGAGCAAGGGCGTTGGGTGGCATGCAGAGATGCAGAGAGCCCTTTCAACCCCAGTCACTGTGTGAGTAACACCAGAAAGATCTAATTGCTTTTGTTAGGCCCATCAAAGTTTGAAACAACACATTTTTTGCAGAGCGAAAAATAAGGGGAGGAAGAATAATGAACATTGGTAAGGAGCATAAACTCACTCATTTGACCAAATGGTTCATTGTTTCTCTTATGTTATCCCAGATTAACTCAATAGGATTTTCAAAAGTGAAAGAGATGCAGAGGAAGTTTCTGTAGATATCCATGTGTGTAAAACAGTAAGTGTGCGCTATCAAGTCTATTAAGTTCCCAGGCAACTGCACCTGCTGCAGTACTCTGAAAATCTAATAGTGCTTATCATCAAATCATGTGTTTCCCTGAAGAAAAGCTTCACTTCTGGGAGAGGATGATGGGTACTTTTGTTCTTGTCAGCGTCAAACTTGAGACCTACAGAAAATTCATGTGATACCAGAATCAGTCTCTGCCTCTTCCTTGCCTACAGCATTGACAAGGATGGGGGCAAAATGTCAGTATTTGATATTTGACTGAGTATTTTGTGTTCTGAATGAACCTTTTGTTAATAGTATAACAAGGAAGGAGAAAAAAGAACAACTTTGTCATGGATATGTGGTGTCATCTGGTATGTAAATACACAATGATTCTATTGAAGAATTGGATAGATGAGGAGGTGAAGCACCAGGGCAGTACTGCTAGCTCTGTCAGTGCTTTAATTTTGAGTTTTATGGATATTTCAGTAGAAACTCTCAAGTATTTCAGTGCTAAATCTACATTAACAGTAACAGAGTACTGTAAGAATGAATAATACTGTATGCTTTAATTTGGTGCTGAAGATTCTCCTTTCTCCATGGTTTGATGATTTACTTTAAAGTAGGTATTATCTGGCTTTCAGGGCTGACCAGTTCCACTAGAGCTTTTTGAGAAGAAGCTATTCCTCAAATTGCTGCTACCTCAACTGTAGGAAGCAATATATTATCCTGTGCACTGCCTTGTACAGACACCATTAATATGTTACCATCCTGAAAGCCTGGTTCATGAAACAAAGTTCCCCCTCAAGTGATTTCTAAGTGAAACTTTGCTCCTTAGTGTCAGACCCATCTCCCTCTGCTCCGTCTCTGAACAAAGTACAGTAAAGAAGGAATGGTAGTCTTAATCCTCTAGTAGCTATGCCAAAAGGATGCAATGAATGCAATGGTGCCTTGTGTTCCTGCATCTTGTTTTTCCAAAGAAAAAGGATTGGGTAGTTTTCTGGCAGTGTTTTTCTTTGCTGCTACTTTGTCTGTGGTTGACCAGAGGTTCTGAGGCCAGGGGATTGTTCAGATTTATGGGACTATTTCCATGAGATGAAAGATAACCAATCATGGGTGAGAACTTTTTGGATGCAGTTGGGCACTATCAAGGTGAGGAAGAGTTATGACTTTCCTTGCATGTAATTTAAGTAGGCCATACCTGGACTCAAGAGAATGATGGTGCTTTCTAAAGCTTCACAGTCCTATTTAGTCCAGTGGGTGGCTAACTGGTTTAGGGTGAGAAACTCCTTGCAGGAGAGCTGCTGATTTAAGTCTCCAAGACGGTCTCAGAAGCTCTTTGAAGAAAGTGAATATAGGCAACACTGACTACATCATTAGTAGCTTGGAACAAAACAGCCCTTTCCAAGTAATTCCTACAGCAAGAGTCCAGTGAAACTTAACCTGCAATATTGCTGCTACAGCTGAAGTAAAAGCAGTCCCAAAATTAATATGAACACTAGGACTTTTTCTGTGCTATTAAACAGATACATAGTCATCAGCTGACAGAGTTCCGGTTCCATTTAGCAAAAAGGAATGAAAGAATGACTTTCCATGTCTCCTTTCACAGGATCACAGTAGCCTGTTCAGACTGATGGGGACCTGGGGAGGTAAATTAATACTAACGCTAGGTGGTACTTCTGTGCTGTTAAACAGATACATAGCCATCAGCTGTACTTGGTGTCCCAAAATGGTGGCACAGCTGTGGAACAGAGGGGAATAATCATGTCCCTTGATCTGCTGTATGTGCCCCTGTTCACACAACCCAGGATGCCACCAGCCTTCTTTATGGACTGTGTCAGATGTCAGGGCACAACAAAATACAGAAATCGGTGGCAGGTCTTGCCAATAATTTTTGTAAAGAATATTAACACAAACTCAGAGGTGGAAGCTGTATCTATTAAACATCTTTCCATTCCTCCACCCTCCAACAGTTCCCCTTCCTTTAATTTAGAAAATGAAGAGTTATTTTAAATATTGGAACGCTGCAGAAGACTGGAGAATAATACTTACTAGAAGACTCTAAGTTTTTCAATTGACGTGATTGAAAAATGTGTTATCAGAAACTTCAGGGCCTTGCTACAAGACTTTGCCCACCCAGTTATGTCCCTTACAACATGTGTTCCACAATCAAACCCTCACAGTTGGTTGATTTATTAGTGGTTCAGTGATCTTCCTGAAAGTTAAACTAAATTTTTGAAATAATTGGTACCCTTATGAGACAAGAAAAAATTATTTTTAATGTGTGAGTTATATTAAATTTGACTTCACAGGTTAAGTGTTTCAATGGTAAAAATTCTGAAGTTCATAACTAAGGCAGCTCTGGTATTTGTAATAGTTGGAAAGCTTTTAAGTGCTATGGTTTTTAACTTTTACTGGTTTTTTTTAACTATGACCCAGCCCTTCCACTCTTATTCTACATTTTCTCTTCCCTCTGATAAAATAAAATGAACCAAAACATCGGGTTTTGGGTACATATTTTTTTGATACTC